CTTAATAATACTAAAGAATATTACTAATAAATATAATACAATGAATTAGATAATAAATGATAAATATTTATAGAAAAATAATTTTTAAATATACGTAAAATTATTTTTATTGATCATGACCAATACACTCATCTACATTTAATCAACCAATTATAATATTGTCATCAAAATATTTCAATTACCCTTAGTAATATTAAAAAATTAATTTTAATAATAAATACAATAAATATAGACAATAAATATAATCATATTTTATTATTATAATTAATAATAATATGTTAATAATAATAAAATAAAATACTATATATATATATATATTTTTTTTTAATCTCCAAATATATTTTGGATTATACCATCCAAAATAAATTAGAAAGGTTATATAATCCAAAATGTAATTTTGGATTTTGAAATATTAGGCAATCCTAAATATGTTTTTCCAATTATAGAATCTGAAATATTCAGATTCAGAAATAGATTCTAAATTGTGTAATCAATATGATAAAAACCTAAAAAAAACATTTTCTATAACATTCCATCCATCATTCAATCGGTGAAATAATGACAAATTGATGTATTTGCTCTTTTTCGTGTGAAAAGAATGAGAAAGCTTGAAGAAAAAGGAAGTAGAAAGCTTTTTTAATATAGAGGGTGCACGAGCTTGAATGGGGAGGTGTGCCGGAAACAATGGAAACTCGGAGTGAGGAGTGAGCGAGATAGGGTTAAGGGTTTAAACTTAACTTTAATGAAGGGTGTTTTGGGGATTAATATTTTTAAAGGGGTGCAGGAGGAAGAAAAACGGGAAGTCCTGGTAGAAATGACCTTCTAAAGAAAGCAATAACGGAGGCCCATTGGAGCGGAATAAAGCCCGTGTATGTGTTCCGAACTGTATCAGGATTTCAGGATTTCAGGTTTTGTTTTTGACTCCAGTAAATTCACATGTATTTTCACTGCTTCTCCTCGCTCTGTCTCTCTGTTATATATATTTATTTGTCGTTAGTATCTGCGAACCCATAGAAAAATCTGTCTCCCGTGTGGTTTGTTTTGTGCGACACACAGAGAGACAGAGAGAGTTGTGGAGTTGAGCTGAGTTGAGAGGGGAAGAAGATGTTGAGCGCAAAAGGTGCTGAAAGTGGAGAAGGGAGAGAAGGGGATTGGGAGTGCAGCAGTTGCAACAACAGGAACTATGCTTTCAGATCATTCTGCAATCGATGCAAGCAACCCCGCCTCCTCGTCGATACCAAAACCCCCGCTGATTCCAAGTGGCTTCCTCGTATTGGCGATTGGATCTGCACCGGTTAGCCCCAACCACCCATTTCTCTCTCTTTTCCATTTTTTCCCAAACATCCTTTTCAAATACCTTTCTCTTTGTTTTCTCTTTTCTTTCCCTCATGTTTTCTGTAATGCATGTTATACTTATTCCTACTCCGGAGGGGTTCTTCCTGGCTCACCTATTGTATGTGTTATGTTGGTGCACTGGAAAATGTAGGAGCAAAATGGAATTGGGAAATTAGACCTTTCTTGAATCGTATTTTATACTTGGTGACCTAGTGTGCGTCTTTCCTTTTGGGTCATCTGTGAAACGCTTGATAGAATATATGAGTGGAAAGATAGTATATATAGGGTTAGATGTTTTTTATTTAAATTTTATTTGTTGTTAATCATCAGTTCCTTCCATGTAACCAAGACTTCCTTTTTAATCTCTCGTTCAGGATTAGAAGCACATAGGTTTTGTAATTTGTAAGGACTGAAATTGAATAGAATTTATAAAGGGATCTAGTTTTGAAAACAAATTATAAGTTCTCTTGATTTAGTTTTTTTTCTTGTAGGTGCTTCTTGAGAAGCTGATTCAAACTGGTTCATAGTGTAAATTTGTTAGTATTTCAGCTTTTTTTGTTCTGTTTTTAAAATACCAGTTCTCTCAAGGACACACGTATGACACCATGTATTATGCTGTATTTATTTCATACATGGTTAAGTTTTATAAAATGATTGATGTTAGAAAGATGCCCGACCTAGCATGACATTTGATTTTGGTATATGATATTCTGTTTCAAATTGAGATGAAGAACTTGCTATCGCCTAGGTTGAGATGTTTGTGCTTTTTGTATGTGTATTTTGTGTGGGATGGACGGGTTGGTGTGCGTGGGACGTGTTGGTGTGCGTATGCTTGGCTTCCTTTCCCTTCTGGCTGCTTTCTGGGGCTGGGTTTGTATGCATGGAACAATAGGTTGCACTAACAACAATTATGCATCAAGAGAGAAGTGCAAGAAGTGTGGACAACCAAAGGAAGTAGCAGCCATGCCAGCAATTGCGATGACTGGAGCATCTTTCCCCACTTTTTCGCATTATTATTCCAGGGGCCCAGGGGGACCAGAACAAAAGATGAATATTGGATTGCTTGGCAGTGGAGCACCGCCACAGTCACTACATTTAAACTCCAATTGGCCCATTCTTGGAGCAGATAAGTATGGTGTCCAACCGATTTCCATATGGCTACCTGGTGGAAATTATAGCTCTGGACATCCTCTCGATAATTCCACCAACCAGAACCTATCTGTTCCAAAGGGATGGCGCAGTGGGGACTGGATCTGTAACTGTGGCTTCCACAATTACTCGTCCCGCTCCCAGGTATGTCTTGATCTACTTGAAAGTGTTGTTGAGTTATACAGTATACAAGAGTTGAAGTGTTCATTATTTTTCTGATTCAATGTTGAAACTATTTGCAGTGTAAAAAATGCAATGCCTTTCAACCTGGTATGACTTCCTTCCTTTGTATAGATTGTAGCTTTTTTTTTTAATCTTCAAATGTTAGTTATTAGTATTAGTATAGATTGTAGACTTGTTAGGTGCAGAATGCCTAACAAGTCTACAATGTTAAAACTATTTGCAGTGTAAAAAATGCAATGCCTTTCAACCTGATATGACTTCCTTCCTTTGTATAGATTGTAGCTTTTTTTTTTAATCATCAAATGTTAGTTATTAGTATTAGTTATTAGTATTAGTATAGATTGTAGACTTGTTAGGTGCAGAATGCCTAATCTGAGTCTTCTATCAAAGATAATTTGTACAAGTGCACAAGTCTTAGAACATACCTTCTTATGGTGATCTAGTGTCCCACAGATAGTCCTCCTTGTCTTCATTGCATTGATAAGAATAATTTTGGTTATTTAATATCAAAAATGGTTTTCAATTTCTAGCAATTCATGTTAACCTTTTTGCTGTTTCCACTTTTTTGGTGTGAAGCACTTGGGACAAAGCGACTAGCCTCTGAAGAGTTGGTTTATGACTGGGACAACAAGAGATTGAATGTAGGAACTGTAAGGACTTTGTTTTTTAGCTAATTTCTGTTGCTCTTCTGTCGTTTTAAAATTCTATTGACAGTTTTAGAAGTCTCTTACTATCTTACTTATTTTTCAGACAAATGATCAACAGCAAACATACACAAGTTTAGATCAAGTGGTAGGGACAGGTGCAGATCCAAAACCTGGAGTCTTCCCCTCTTATCCCAGCATGAACTCAAGTACAACTCCAAGTTTGCCATTGGCCACACTTCTTCCACCTCAAGTTTCTACACCTGCCCTCCTTGGAAAAGGGTAACTAATGCCTCTAACCTATCGTGTAATATTATTGTAAAGTTACATATTTATCATATTTTTTAATAGTACATCTAAAGATGCTATCATACTCTTATAGGCTCACAATTTAAATACATTTTTTTATATATTGTACCTGTTAGAGCAAAGCAATGGCGCAGTGGAGACTGGATGTGCTCAAATTGCAATAATCACAATTATGCTTCAAGACTACAGTGTAACAGGTTATTATCTCATTCGTATTATATTTTATGTTTTGGGGCAAATTAAATGAACGAAGACTAAATTATGCGCGTTTTTAAGTCATTATGTAGCAATCAAACACGTTTTGCATTTTCTGTTGCACGAGTTACACTGAATAATCGATGCTCGTCATTTGCAGGTGCAAAACTCAAAGAATGGCGCCCATGCAACCTGTTAATGTTGTTTAATGTTGAATTTATTAGTTAAATTGCTGTGACGTGCCCTAGTTTGGCTGAGTTTTGGTTTTATTTTCTAGCATTACTTTGGCAGCAAAACGCGTTGATGTTCTCTGACATGTTCGTTATATTTGCGTAAGACAATGGTTTATGCTCAGTACCATCATATCTTTTAGTTTCTGAAAATGTATTGCTTACCATAAATATTCTATTTGATAGAGGATTGTGGATGAGTTGAGTATTCTCCTCGAGTGTCGTTTGGTTTTTATCCAAAAATTTTCAGTTATTGTTTTAAGAACATTGGTTCAGAAGTGCGTTCATGGTACATTTTCATCCCTCTCTGTTCACGTGGGGGAATTTTGTTATGGTAGTCAGTGAATTTCAATGCCATTGGTCAGTAACTGCAAGCGGGAGAATTAGCACATCTCTCATAAAACTCAGAAGACTATCCAAATCTCCTGTGCATGTAACCAGGGCTTTAGAAGAATATTCATTACTCATGTTTTACTACTTGAGTGGCAGTATACTTATACGTGGTTACTAGGAGTAAACCATAACAATGCTTTCGTCTGTCTTTTTAAAATTCTCACTTATTTAGTCAACAATTTCTTAGAAGGGTATTCACATCAATTTCTAGCGTCAGGGAAAAGCTGTACGAAATAAAATTGAAATAAATAATTTATTTCTAAAGTCAAGAACTAAAACAAGGATTTAAAATGTCAACAATTAAATTGAGTTATACCTGCTATATCATGTATTAATACACGGATTTACTTGAAAAAGCACTGACTCTAGTTATTTATTACATAACAGACTCCTTTCAGCCCAACACAGAAAGTGATGATAGACACCAATGATAATGGTGCTATCCTACAAAACGAAAATGATTACATGGATCATTCATATATTAGGTTTGTTTAGAAATCAAATTCTCTGCTCGTGGAATCATAATTTGGTCAGGGTAGTTAGTTCTACTGTAAAACTAACGTGAAATTCTAAACAATGAAAAAAATGTCTGTATACTATAAAAGATGATGTGGCATTGCAATTCTCTTCAACAAAAATGTCTGGTTTTTGCGCCCCTGATTTTTACATATAATATCTGTGACAAGCAGTAGTAATAAGTAACATGGTAATCTTTGTTGAGGGCAGAGAAACATAACTGTAGATAAGTTGAGATGCTAAAAGCATTTTGAGTAACTAAGTCATCTAGTTCAAAACCTGAGAGGAATCACTTGAACACATCAGTAGGGGAGAGTGGAGGACCATCGAGCTGGTAAAGGTTGAATGCTGGACCCACAAACCTGAAGAAGATCCACCCTCCGATCATGATATAGATTGAAGCATATGCAAATTTGTTGAGCCAAAAGAGAGCACCTTTCTCCCCCACATAAAGCTCCACTGCTTTCTCACTCAAAGTCATGTCTTCCCATTTCTTGGGAGGACTCTCAACCCTTCTGTTTGTAGATTGCATGCCGTTTTCCCTCTCCCTCTGCCGTCTAGCTTGCCTTCTTGATCTTTTCCGGAAGCTTAATTCTACAGGATTAACTGGTGTTGCACTTGGTGCTTGAACTGAGTCTGCATCATCATTGGTTGTGTTGCTGCTGCTGCTGTTACTACTACTGTTATTATCAGTGGTGGTGCAGCATATGGGGTTGAAACTGAGAGAGCCCTGACGGTGGGGAAAGAAGATTTGGGTGTGCCTTGTTGATGGCAGTGAACGTCTAGTGAGAACGATGAGCGAAGATGAGTGTGGAGAGATAGAGATGGTTTCCATGGCTTCCCAGAATGCAACGTGTGGTTATATTTTGCTTATCCACTTCCCTTTTATAGTCCCGTGACTATTATTGGGTTGGGCTGGTGGCTTTGGAACACCATTTATCAAATTTAAAATGCCTTTCAAAACTAAATAAAAATATACAGAGTAAAAGATAAATCATAACTTTACTTTTCTTATATTTCCTCCTCGGTTTTGCCTTTTTTTTTTCTATAATTTTAGCAGTTTCATAAATTTTATAATTGATCTAATTCTCAAATTTACATTCATTCTATTTATCCTATTCATAATAATTGTTTAAAACTTGGACTAAATTCTTTTCCATTTCAAAATAATTTTTTTGAATATTTAGTTTGGAAGAAAAACCTAATTTAAGTGTTTTGATTATGAATTTGAGAGGTTACCTTTTAATTTTTCCTTAATTAATTTAAGGAATCTTATCACTAATATACCATTATATAATATATAATGCAAATCGATCTCGTTTAAAAATCTTATCTTTTTAAATATACAAACATTTTTTCACTCAAGTGACTATACATTGATTAAGCATGCAACTTTAGATGAAATTTAGTAATGATATTCGTTGTTTAAACAATAAGTTCTACATCATTCTATACTTTTATGATCATGTTGTTGTTTGAGCGTTGACATAGTTGTTTGGTCTTACACGTTTCAAAATCCTATGCACCACACCTTTAAGCTTGAATGATTCCTCATTTGAGTGTCTCTACTCCAAAAGAAATAAAATTGTCTCCATCTCTTTCTCACTCTAGCTCAAGTCATAGCGTTAGCTATACATATCATTTAAACTTCTATGACTTGAGAATGATCACTATCGCTTAGACATTGCTTGAACAGTAGTTCACTACTTAAATGATATTAGCCTAAAGAAAAAAAAATACAACATATCAAATCTAACCCATATTATTTTTAAATCATCCAACCCCTACTTTAAAATATCCAATAATATATGCATATTAAAGTCATATGTTTACATCAACATAAATTACCGCTACTTGCAGGAGTTCTTTAAAAGCACAGTTATATATAGGGATTCTTGAAAATCACTGCCATTTGCTGGGATTCTCGAAAATCGCCACTACTTGTTGAGGTTCAACAAAATCATTGATATTTGTTTGGATTCTCCAAAACCATTGCTACTTTCTTGGATTACCTGGTTAGAGTTTCCAAAACCGTAAGGGACTAGAAATCATTTTTTTTATTATTAAAATTATTTGATTATAAAGAAATGCTTTAATAATAAACCAAAATCATTGAAACCAAACATTTAATATTATTATATAAAATGAACTATAAACATTAGAAATACAATTAATTCTTGAACATAAGAAATAACATTTTTCAATCCTAAAAATTAAAATAAAAAAGCATGTTCTCAACAACAATTATTAATTTTGTTGTTTTTCATTATCTTGTACGTTTCTTTGATTAGAATACTTACAATATAATATAATAGTTAGTCAGTAATATATTAAAAAAAATTATTAGACGAATTTAAGAATGATTATCAGTTATGGTTGAAAAATGTTAAAATGTGAAGATAATTGATCATAATAATTTTGCAACATAAATGTCATCATTGCCTTCATTTCATTAACTTGTGATGTCAATGAATATAATTGAAATGAAAAAAATTATTTGAAAAGTAAGAAAAATTTTAGTCAACAAATTATTCATAAAATCAACAATACAAGTAAATGTTGATAAAATATTCATTAACTTAAGTTTGTAATTCAAAATAAGAAGGAGAAGTTGAAGATGATCCACTATGGCAACAACCATTGATTCCAAAGATTATAGATGGGCAAACTCCCAATCCTAGACCAAACACATCCAAAATGTTATTGGGTTCCTAAAGTAAGAGCCAATGAATATGAATTTAATATTTCTTTTGTTTGAGATGATGATATTGTGGATTCATATGCTTCAATTTTTTCCTACATACAACGTTTACTAGTGCAAAATTGATTTTTAACGTCACCCCATAGACATTCGTCCACCAAAACACCAACGTAAATAATTGACCGGTGGCATAAATGTAAATAATTGAGTGTGGAGACGTCCGTCCTAGAAGGGGCCGGACGTCTATAATATAGTAGACGTCCGACCCCTCTAACGGACGTTCAAAAGCCTGACGGGAGAGTTGAAGATTCAGCCTTTTGAACGTCCGTCCTGGAGGGGGCCGGACGTCTATATAGTAAACGTCCTGCCCCCTCAAGGACGGACGTTCAAAAGACTGACGGGTTAAACTACCCTGTCAGCATCTTGAACGTCCGTCCTAGAGGGGGACGGACGTCTACTATAGGTAAACGTCCGTCCCCTTCCAGGACGGACGTTCAAGAGCTGACAGGTTCAACTACTCTCTCAGTCTCTTGAACGTCTGTCCTGGAGGGGGACGGACGTTTAATATATATAGACGTCCGTCTCCATCCAAGACGGACGTTCAAGAGACTAATGGGTTGAACTACTGTCAGTCTCCTGAACGTCCGTCCTGGAGGGGGACGGACGTCTATATATATTAAACGTCTGTCCCCCTCCAGGACGGACGTTCAGGAGACTGAGAGAGTAGTTGAACCTGTCAGCCCTTGAACGTCCGTCCTGGAGGGGGACGGACGTTTAATATATATAGACGTCCGTCCCCCTCCAGGACGGACGTTCAAGAGACTGATGGGTTGAACTACTGTCAGTCTCCTGAACGTCCGTC